GCATTCGGGCTGGTGTGGGTTCCCTGTCCAGGTGCCATCCTTTTGGAATGATTCCCTCACCTGATGATTGATCGCGAGCTTCTTATCCGCTGCGGTTGGCACGTCCGTCTCGTGCCGACGAGACGGGGTCGTCTCGCCACCAATGATGCGTGACCAGTGTCCATGTCCTCGCTGGCGCGCTTCATGCTGTCTGCAGCCCGTTGTGGACTTGTGGCACCGTCGCCGGCTCGACGCTCTCGGGTGGTTCGAGACTTTGGGTGCAGGCAGCGAGCCCCGGTGGATTACAAGGGACCCCAATGGCTCAACCTCCGGCCGCTTCCACGTGAAATGGGCCGGAATGTGGGGTGTTCTACCAGGGAGACGGTACACACATATGCTAGTTGGAATTCCTGCAGGCAAAGTGCCTGCATTCAGTTTTGCCTATCCGTAAAGCACGAATTAATGTATCGCACATAACAAAAGTGGGACAGGTCTACTGAGGAGTGTGACCTTGACTCTTGACAGTTTCACTTCAGGTTCGTGGCTCTGGAATCACGTATAGATAAAACGGCACCGACTTGACTGCAGTCAGTTTGAGCCTCTTGGCCACAAAATGGCTCCACCGCAGTTGCACGGCCTCACCAAGTCCAAGGATGCCGATTCCAAGGATGACACCAAGGAACGGTGCCTGCAGTATAGCTGATCCCGATCGGCTGGGGGATGCAACCTAGAGCGGGAAAGTAAGCCACTGATTAGATCAGGATACTGTAAATTGCCTAAATGAAGGCTAAGATGTTAGTATCTTCTCTAGCTCATGACCTCATGGGGGTTAACCATCCATGCACATACCTGCTTCTGCTGGACGATACCACCATGGAACAGCTTCATGGACGAAGAATTCTGAGGACACAGGCACGCTAGGCATGTGAAATGGAACATAAGCCTGAGGCATTTCTGGAACGAGTAGAGCTGGATTAAAAGGACTGAAACCGATTTGATGATCGCTGAAATGGGTATTCCTGCTGTTCCCACTGTATGCCATCGGACCAAGCTTGCGCACCCTTTTCATATTCTTAATGCCTCCGATCTTGAACTTGAAAGTGCTGCACTTGCCTAGTAGAAAAGGCTGATCACACTGCAGCCCGTCCCCCCTTTTGTTGTTGTAGCCAGGATAATCCTGGATGCGGAAGTCAACTTGCTCAACCAGAAAGAGAGCGAACTCTGAGGCGAGCTCTTCGAGATTCCATTTTCTGTATGGGTTCTTCGTCTTGTGGCTGACATGAACTTCCCCATCAGGTCGGAGCAGGAGACTTGCACTGCGGAAGAAGTCTTTCACAAGTTTCCTGTGTGAGCTAGAGCCAGGGCAAAAGGTTAATAGTAGAATGAATTACATGGAACAAGATAAAAACAGATTGACTGCAAGAACGTAACAGCAGATAAATGCTTCGGAAGGCTGGGGCACCTTTTAAGTTAAAACATAGAGCTACTCAGTTAACAAATACAGAAAAGAAACTTGTTTTTTCTATGATGACAAACAATAAGTGAAACAACCAGCAGGCTACTCCAGACCCCACTAGACAGAAACAAAGCTTTTTATTGTCAACAAAGGCTAGAGATCAGTACATTGATTCAAAATGGCTTTCACCTAGATCTAGTAGAGAAAGGAAACGATATACTCATCTGCTTTCACTTGACAGAAAATTAAACAATTCGCTACACCAAAATGGAATCCATTTCTAAAGACCTGCTTGGTATTTTTTTTACAAGTAGCCTAAGAGACAATTCAAAACGACATAATGCAGAAATGAGCTCCAATAAGTATATTTGTATATTAGTTGTTTTGGGTAGTAATAGTATGGCCTATCTATCAATCAATAAGGTAAAAAGGCCTTTTCTCTTTATCTGCCTGATGCACGCGGTAGAGTCTTACCGCCTGTGACCGGAAGGTCCCGAGTTCAAGTCGCGGTCTCCTCGCATTGCACAGGCGAGGGTAAGGCTTGCCACTGACACACTTCCCCAGACCCCGTACAGAGCGGGAGCTCTCTGCACTGGGTACGCCCTTTCTCTTTATCTGCATGATGTGCTATTGTCTCAGGGTACAATTGAATTCTACATACAGCAAACATAAACTAACAAAGTGTACATACTTGATCATATGTGGTTGGTCTTCTTTCCCTTTGAACCCAGAATGGGGGAGGTTGAAAATAACCCTGTCAAACCGCCTCATCTGGAGATCAGTGTGTAGCTTCATCGTTTTTGCATTGACTCCATGCAAAGTCACCGTCCCCATTTTTTCAGTTTTGCCAAATTGGATTCTGCTCCGCTGTACTTCTTCTTCAGGGTGTCTGTACAAGATCATTTGAAAATAAGTGGAAATTAAATAAATAAAAAATCGTCCCATCAGAGTAATCTATGAAATTTCTGCATTATTCATATCAGGCTATGCATAAGACCCAACAATATCAATAGTTAGCAATCAGGAAACATGGTATGACAATAGTTCTGCAAAAAAGCCTAACACTCATGTACATCTCATGGGCTCATGGGTCATGGCAACAGCCAACGATGCAACATCTCTGATAATGAGTACCAAAATCGGCTGCTCGTTCACGAGTGATATAATTGGTGAGAAATTAGACGAATGAAAGCAAACCGTAGGAGTCGAGAGAAGTGGCGACGAGGTTGGCGCCCGAGCCGAAGCCGGTGGCGAGCGCCAAGGAGAAGGAGAAGTCGCCATCGCCAACGAGCAGGATGCTCTGGGTCGACGAGTACTGCCCCACCCACCTGACCTCCTCCTCCTCCTCCTCCTCCTCCTCGCTGCTCTCCTCCGTGAGGTCGATCATCACCGGGACGCCCTCCGCGCGTGGGCCATCAACACCTTGAGCTTCCTTCTCACCCTCGCCCTCCTCCTCTGTCTGCGCTGTCAAATCGATCTGGGACTCCCTCCGTGCGTAGGCCGTACTGTGATCTTTCTTCTGCTCCTCCTCCTCTGCCACCGCCGTCAAGTCGATCACCAGGACTCCCTCCGCGCGTGGGGCCATCGAGCCGACCACCAAGACACCCTCCGCCGGGTACCCCTGCTGACTCCCATTGGCGGCGGTCGCGGAGACGACCGCAGGCAGCGGGATTCCCTCCCCGTTCCCACCAGCGGCCGCTGTGCTCTTCGCCGGCGATCAGGTGAGGTGACAGCCTGACAGGTGGAGGTGGAGGTGGTCTCGCTCGCTTGATTACGTCTGCGTGCCTGCCCTGGGTTTTTTTAATTTTAAATTTCAAACGGTTGCGAGGTGCCAGTAGTCGTTGCTGCCTTATTGGGCCGGGCTTCTATCGATACGCATTGGGCTTTTGGGGTCCTTCAGTCTGCCAAGAAAGGCAGCCATATTGATGAGCAGAAAGGCAGTGAAGCCATGCAACGGATACCTGGTTTGGGTGGTTTTCCCGTACACTCCCTCCGTACTCAAAAAAAAAAAAGTCATGTTGACAGCGACACGGTCTCCAAAGTATAACTTTGACTTCTTGTTCTTATAAAAATATTTATCGAAAAGTGATATATGTATATTTTTATGAAAGCATTTTTCAAGATAAATCCATTCATATGGTTTTCACATTTCTAAACTCAGCAACTTAAAAGTTATTCATGATTTATATTCCTAATGTTTGACCCAAGACTTATCCAAAACGACTTCATTTTTAAGTATGAAGGGAGTAGGCCGCAGCCGATCACCGAGACAACAACGCACGAATTTCACGCAATAATCTTATAGAATCTTAGGTTTGAGGAATGTGTTAGTCATCATCTTCTTACTCCTTTTTTTGTTTGATTTATAAAATAAAATAGGTTGATTCATAGTCACCTCATTTCTCACAAAGCTAATAATTAGTACTAATATAAGGAATATAATTATTTCACCAAATTTGAAGAATCATGATGCGTTATTTCATCTAAAATGGTTTGATTCTCCAAACCAAACACTTTATTAGAGAACTAACTAGTATAATTGAAAGGACAACTTACAAAACAATAATTCATATTTTTTTCTATAGTCAAACAACGACCAAAATACATACTATCTAAACAATAACAAGAAAAATAGGCATCTGAAATATAAGAGAAGTGTTTTAAGTTAAGGGTGGGTGTAATATTATATACTACTAGAAATTCAGAGGAGAAATGTGTGTATCCTTTTTTTAGATAATGGAATGACGTTCCAACCTCCACATCGTTTGACGATATACACAACTGAGAAATGTATGTATTCTTTGGCTCAACATTTGGTTTATCCGTGGGTCTTATTTAGAGAAGACTAGTTTCTGGCTTAGTCAGGGCGTCTCCAATAATATGAGCTAGCATTAGCTTTAAACTGATAAATATGAAGGAGATAGATTATAATAAACAGTTTTGAACATCGTGCTGTGTGAGAGAAATATATGGTAAATGTACGAAACTATCTCTTTAGTCCATGCTAATCTCTCGCTTTTTGTACTATTCAATGATTAAAATTGATTTGGGTACCTCTAAGTTAGATTATTGGAAAAGCCTCTACAGTAAAAGAAGAAGAAGACCAGAAGGACCTGGTGACTTTTGTATGCCATGCGCTGGAGTCAAATAAAATTATGTTGATTTATTCTTTACCATGTGTTTGAGGTTCGTACTTCGTAGCGTTAACTATTTTTTAAAATAAACTGTGAACACTGAACTGAAGAGAAGAAGACGTCGGATTTTTCCCCTTATCTACGGACTATGGATAGGGGTGCAATCTTGCAACTACGCAAGCGACGCTAAAGTCGTCGTCTGCTGAATGCCTGAATTTCCCAGCATTTGCTCTTTTCCAGAGCCCAAACGCGGGCGGGCCATCGATGCCAAGTAGGCCTAGACCTCAGGCGGACGCGGAAAAGCCCCTTTCCGGCTACGCGTCGCGAATCTTTTTTTTTTTTTGAAAAAGTTCGCGAATCGCCTCACTCCACACCAGCACACCACTTCGCCTCCGTCGGCGGCGGCGACGGACACGACGGCACGTGCGCGCATGGCAGTGGCGGTGGCCGCGCCGGTGGTGATCGGGCCAGATGCAGAGGTGGGAAGCGGCGGGGACGGGGGCGATGCGCAATTGGAGGTGCCGCCGGTCGAGGTCGTCAGGAAGGGGGCACCGCTGGTGGAGGGGATACCGGTGGCGGTCACCGCCGGAGGGCACGATACGGAGAAGGAAGTGAAGGGAGAGAAGGGGGTGAACCCGGTGAAGTGGCTGGGGCTTTACTCCTCTGCGCAGACCATTCTCATCGTCGGCGACGGAGACTTCTCCTTCTCGCTGGCGATCGCCACCGCATTCGGCTCCGGCGCCAACCTCGTCGCGACGTCCCTCGACACCTATGGTTTGTCTACTGCGATCGCTTCCGCTTCCTGTTGCGGCGGGTAAAGTAAAATTTGCCTTCGCTATTGCGTACGAGATACGACTGGCACTAGCTTTTTGTGGCTGATCCCATTTTTGGCTTTTTGCGCCTCTGGTATGAGAAATAAATGGAACCATGGATGGATGGATGCATTCGATAATATGATCTGCTAGATTTGATGATTGTGATAGGATCTAGTTTTGTTGGTTAAATGAGGATTCTAACATTTCCACTTCATTACTACGTTTTAAGCAAAAATTATTTGTGTCACGTATGAAAAAATGATAAGAGTGATCCAAGCAGCTGGTTACCAGTTGGATGAAAAATAAACTTAAATGAACCTGCGAGAACATTAATAGGGGAAAATTAAGGCACCACAATAAGCGACACAATAATTTTTTCCTGATTCAACTGTACATAATCACCACAGTTTGCCTTTAGGACAAATTTTCAGCATTCAATAGTTCTAGTATTGTATTTCCTTCATCCTAACTTTGTATTTGGGTCCATATGCATTGTTGATGCTGTCTTTACCTTTGCAAGCTCAAAAGCATACTGTGGTTTTTGTTTTCTTGTTCATCGCGCGGCTTATCTACATTTTCTGCATTTCTTGTGGGAAATCCTCATTTGCAGAGGTTCTGAACAGTGGCGGACCCAGCAGGTAGCATGGGTAGGCCCAGGACTACCCACAAATTTGACCCAAAATTCTATTACTACTTTTCAGAAACTGGTCCACGGTCACTCTCGTCTCAGTATAGGCCGAAGACACCGCAAATCCACGAGCTCTTCAAAAAAATAACGCACCCGAGAGGGATCGAACGGGAGACCTCGTGCCTCGGGCTGCAACACGCTTACTAGTCCAGCCACGAAAGTTTATTGGATAGGTAATACCCGCAACCTTATTTAATAAGGGAAAACAGGGAAAATACCCCTTAATTAATCACTCCTGGGTATGCTAAATCATATCCTAAACGACTTTCTTTACCAGTATGGAGGGAGTATTTATGTAAGTTTTGAACATTTTAAATGTATTATCGTAATTTGGTTAATTTATAGCTATGTTTGCCAAACTTTTTATTTGGATTTTATAGTATTATATATGAAATTATTTTACCAGGACTACCCTGGTCTCAGATCCTGGGTCCGCCACTGGTTCTGAAGCGTAAGTACAGCAAAGCAGAGTCAAATATTACGGAGCTGAAAAGATTGGGCACCACGGTTTTGCATGCTGTTGATGCGAAAAACATGATGTTTCACACTGACTTGAAGAACAGACGATTTGATAGTATTGTCTTTAATTTTCCTCATGGTGGCTTCAAAGGAAAAGAGGACGACTTGCATATGATCAAGTATGTGCACTATCTCATCATGTTATTTGGCAGCTAACATTAATTAAACTCTGTATTAGGCTTAATAGTCATTCATGATCTTCATATGGATCAGTTCATTATTTATCTTACTGAGCTCCTGAAGTCCAGAGTTGATTGAATATTTCTAAGGCTACATTTGCATACAAAGGGTTATCTCTTCTGTATTTTTTTTGAATGTCTTATCTCTTCTGTATTGATAACCTACGCAGAAATGACATTGGTAGAATCTCAGTGAAAATTTGAAAATGTATCATTTTCATCCTAAACAGCGTACACCACTGCTAAACTTGTTTCTCAAAATGAACTATATCTCTTTGTAAGTACATTAAGAATAAGTAGCATCTATGTTACCTCAATAATAAGTTGAGAGCCCTTACATGTCTTCAATGGCCCATTGGCTAGAATATATTTTGTTTTTAGGTCCTATGATGATTCAGTCAAAAAATTCAATAATACAACCTTGATGCAAGAACTAAGATCATTATTTTGTTGCCTTTGTGGATATAACTTTATTTCAAGCACTTATAGCAGTATTTGTAATATTTTGGTATAAGCTTTTTCCGGACATATATGAAATAAAGATGGTTCCACTTTGCATGTCAGTGGTCATAAAATAGTAGCTGATGTTTCTTAGTGCTGCTAAACAATACAGAAACCCAATCGGAATCTACAACACTGTTATTTTATTTATGGCCTTTGTTTTCATAGTTAAACTATTATTAACCATATGCTGCGACTTCCAGCTCGCACAAGGAGTTGGTGTTGGGTTTTTTCCGCAATGCACACCACCTTGTTCGGCCACTTGGTGAAGTCCATGTTACCCACAAGACCGGGGAACCGTACGACAGTTGGGATCTTAAGCACCTGGCCACTGATTCTTCTCTTACCATGGTTGACAAAGTTCCTTTTCGAAAGGAAGACTACCCAGGTTATAACCAAAAGAGAGGAGACAGTAAGAGGTCTGACGAACCTTTTGATCTTGGTGCATGTTGCACATTCAGGTTCCGAATCTGGAACTTGAAGGAGCTGAAGCAAATGAATAGGAAGAGGTCTGGTTTAATCCCAAACATTGGAGGCAGCAACGTTCATCCAGGCCATTGGGTAACTGACAGGGGGCCATTTCATCTAGTTGCACCTGTTGAAGCATGGCCTTGGCATCATTTTCCTCCGCCAGCTCACACAGGCCGCATGCTGATGCCTCCGCAGCCGTACATAGTTGATCAATGGCAACAACCAGGCTTTCCACTGAACTCTAATGGCATGGCGGCTGGACCTTATTTGCATAAACAGGAGAGTTGCCATCCAATGGTGAGCATGCCAGGCCCATGGTTGAATGATTTGCCCGCTCAAGGTGGCATTCCTCCACCTCTACCAATGGGCAGAATCCCATTTCCTGATCTCCTTGCACCTCGGGAGCAGCCTTGGTATCAGCAGAGAACTATTCCTGGTCAGCTAGGAGTCGATAACTACTTCTTTGCCCGGGAACACCAAATGAGTCTGCAGAGGGAGTATGAAATCCAGAGGCAAGTCATTCCCAGAGCAACCGGCTTGACCCGTAACGCCTTCTTGGAACATCCCCACAGGGACAGGGAGTCTGTTGAGAGGCTAGAGTGGCTGCACAGGATGATTGAATTGTATGGTAGGAAGTGAAGGATCTTTGGGAGGTGGCAATATGAAGGAGCTGGGCCTACCAGTTCCAGGCTTGTACAGGACTACACGTAAAGGTCATTTTGTGTGGCATACACTGACCACGGCAGTGCGATGAGTTGCTACCTTGCTGTTAATAATACACTGTACTCCTAGGCAGTTAAGGGCAACACCAACGCAGGCGTACAACAATATTAGCCTAAAAAAAAAGTAGTCTTCCACGGAGACGCAAGCTATACGACTGTACATACTGTAGCTTTTGCACGGTGGAAATTCAGCAATCTCGAGCCACAATGCGTCTCCGGTTGTTGCTTCGCTCTTTTGGCAGACGGAGCTGTCGCCGCTTCTGCAGGCTGCTCTGACGGCCTGCGGAGCCACCGTTCCACGTGATATGGAGATTTGGAGCCGACGTGGACACCGAGGCAGTACGCCACTCTGGAGCATTGAAGAAGCCCTAAGCAAGCCTGTTTTTAAAATGGAGCTGTCCGAAGAGAGTTCCTGATTAGTTGATCATTCTGTAATGAAGCATATATTGCTTACATTTTCGTTGAGTGCAACATTGGTCACATAAAGATCATGTATGGTACAGAACTGAAGCTCCGTTATATGCTTAGCCAATTAGCTTATATACTCCATCCGTTCCAAATTATGATTCACTTTAGTTTTGTCCTAACTCAGACTTATCTAATTTTGACCAAATTTATAGATAAATAGTTAGCTAATAGCTAACTATTTATAACATCAAATTATGCCTTGTTTGGATCCACTAGTGATAATAATTAGCTAGCTAATAGCTAAAAAGCTACTAACTATTAGCTAGCTAATTATTAGTAAGGGTTGTTTGGATCCAACCACTAATAGATGCAAGAATAGTTGGTTGGAGGTTTTATATGAACAATTAGCCTCCCTCACCAACAAATTGTTAGCATCTCCACTTGCTAATAGCTGATAGATCTATTTGCTAATTATTAGCACCAATAGATCCAAACATTGCCTTTAGTCTCATTAAACTCTACACAAAATATATTTTCATAGTGTATTTACTCGAACTTGTAGATGTTAATACATTTTTTCTAAAACTTGGTTAAAATGGACTACCTTGGGCCCCGCGACTGCTTGGTACATCGCCTCTTGTCGATGTTTTGTCAACCAACGAGTGAATTTATATGTGTGTTGCGCTGCTCTAGGAAGACGATGGTAGCATCCAAAGGCACGAGGAATTTATACTAATTTAGGTCGGAGCCCTACGTCCAGTCTCAGAGAAAGATCGAGTGCGTGTTCCTCGTATAAATGCTCTGAAATTCTTACAATGGGGTGTGTAAGCTAAAGGAAAGAGGTAGGAGGCGTGAGGAGAACGAAGGCCTTGATGGAGTTTCCCAAATCTATCGTCCACCCCTTGGAATGGAGGCCTGGCTCCCCTTATATAGAGTCCGAGGGCTAGATTACATGTGAGAGATGGGTTCTCCCGACCCGAGTGGTCATGAGCCCGAGGGAGGGAGAAACTACTAATCTTGGCTGGCAAGGAACTTGGCGGACAAAGAGCTTGGCGGGCATGGCATCCTGTCTTGTCTTGGCGTCATCGTACGTCCAGGCGTGGCCATTGTCGTGGTCTTGCTCCCCATGCCGCGGCGTGATGCCGTAGTGCCAGCCGTGATGGCACTGTTAGCGTGGTGGTGGTTGGCCAACTGTTTTGTGCGTCATGGCCCATATCATCTTCTCTTGTCTTTCTGGTGGCATCGTCGCGACAGTGAGGGAGCAGGTAGCTGCCGTCGAGCTGTTGCTGCCTTTCCGGATTGTGGCGCCATGGACCACGACCCCGGCCTACGGGGTTAGGGCTCATGGTGGTCTGGCTAGCCTCACGAGGTCGAGGCTAGGATCGTGCACTCCATCTCATAGTGGGTGGGGACATACGCCCGTCTTGTTGGGCTGACTTTGGACGGTGCAGTGTCGTACCGGACGTCACTACATCACGGTGTTGTCTTGTCTACGCAAGGCTGTGCGGGGATGGCGTCTGCTCCGAGATCCCGCGTACCAAGGGATGACGGTCCCCTCAGTCCTGGCGGAGTGAGTGGAGCGTGCCTGTCCCTGTCAGAGCAGGTGTACTTGGTGTCCGACCTCTCCTCATCCCTTCTCGGGGGTCGAGACAGAAGGAAGGTCGGGCGAGGCTGCGAAGCGTGCAGCGGAAGGAGAGGGGAGAGGTCGTGGTGGACCGTTCCTGCTAGTGTGTGGCCTAAGGCCCATGAGGCGTAGTTGGGCTTCGGCTATGTAGTTTATGTTGGCTGGGCCACCTGAGCAGCTATCCTATCGGTGTCTTGAGAAACCCTTGTATCATGACCCTGACAGTAGCCCCCGAGCATCTTTGTGATCTTGGAGAGATCGTGGAGATGCTGATGTTCTCGTGCAGGCGCGAGAGGTTGCGGCTGTTTCGAGCTCGGAGCTCGACCCCTTGCGAGGTCGAGTGTTCAATGCGGTAGGTGGCCGTTTCCCGTCGGGCTGCCTTAATGGCCAGGTACGTACCTGTTGGTCGAACCCTGCCATGTCAGGGTACCATGCGCGCAGGGAGTTCGAGATCCAGACTAAGTTGTGTGGTCTTGTCGACACTGTACCGGTTCTATCTTTTGGAGGTCCTCATTTTTTCCAACCCCATGCTAGCTCTTGGCAATGGTTGTGGCCTCCCGTCATTTTCCACATGGCTTGGGAGGCACGGGCTGCTCAGCTCGCCCTTTGGGTCTATAAATAGGGGCTTGTTTCCTGTTTGAATCACTCTTGACCTTGCCCCTAGTTTATTGCCAGACTCCAAAGAGACTAGGGTTGAAGAAAGTGCTCCTAAGTAGGTAGTGGAGTCCTTTGAGGATGCGACCTGCCAGGGGTCGGTTGCGCTTGCCGGAGGCCGGCGATGCTTTCATCCAGCAGCTGGTGCTAGAAGAAGATTTGCGAGCACCGGAGGATTGAGGCGGTGCTCAGGCTGACTTCAGGGCCTCATGACTTCAGCGTTTCCCCGAACCCTTAGGTTTGGGGTCGCTAAATCATGAGTGCCAAAGGTAGCAATCAGCTTCTCCCAGAACCCGTAGGTAGCTCAGGAGTGGGTCACGATCTTTCGGGAAGATCGTTTAGTGACCGCGGGAAGCTACGTGAGGTTCGGGGAGGGCACCGCGGTGCCTTGGTCCCCCATCATGTTTCCTATAGCGTGATGGTGGTAGCCTATGAGCTAGTCGTTCCTGCTCCTCTCTCCCTCTGTGTTTTGGCCTGGGGGCATGATGCTTCAAGGAGGCTTGCGAGGCATTCGTCGTCCTCGCTTTCCTGCTCTTGTGGCATTTGCCTTCGGGCTTTCCTTGGCATCACCATCGAGGTGATGCTTGATTTTTGCGTCTTGCAAGCGGTTTTGACCGCTCCAGTAATTCATGATCATGAACAGAGAGAAGCACTTTTTGGAGTTTGTTGTGGCTCTTTGCGAGGTCGTGGCGAGCCCCCGAGTCGTTTGGTTGGGGTATGGCCTTTATCGTCTCGAGCCAACGTTCTGAGGTTGCGGAACCCGCAAGGTTGTCACGACCTCGTTGTGCCAACGTAGCCCTCGAGCCTAGCGGTCGGGTTCTGGCTTATTGGTTCAAGGTCATGGTCTCGAGCGGGTCATCGACCCGCTGCCACCTAGGGTGGTAAGGTTGTTCCTCGACCTCATGTCTTTCCACTCGAGTGCCTCTTCCTTGATTGCGCCTTGGCTCGTGCGGTCATGGTTCCACGACTACTGCCAAGTTGCAACTGTGTTCCCAGGTTTGCCTAGGTTATAATCATGTTTTACCGGATTTTGCATTGCTTCAGGAGGAAGACGTCATTGCGAATCCTTGACCGTCTGCCTAGTCGATCTCTCCCGAAGGGGTCGTAGACCTCTGTCGGTTTGTGAGACTCTAAGCTGGCCGTAGGGGTCGATGACCTCGGGCATAGGGAGAAGCCTGGTCGAGGTTTGGCCTCGACCTCTAGCGACGTTGTAGGGACCTAACTCTTTTTCCCAAACACCCTTGCAGACCCCAACGGGTCACGATGCCTTGTTATAGGCTATTTTGGTTTTCACCCCACGTAGAGTAAGACTGTCCACCGTAACCTCATTGGTCCGATCGGTGCGCCTCACTCGTCGAGGTCAATGGGTAATTCGAGTGAGACTCGATATCCTTCAACAATCGACGTGAAGTTCGGCTGTGCCTCATCGAGAGATGTCCCATTAATCATCGATCGTCAATCTTATCAGTCCCCGATCGCCTCCATAGTGGCCAGAGGGCAAGATGCCTCCCACCTAGAGGGGGTCAAACTGGGCGACTTCGAAGCCAATGACTCGAACATAGGGAGAGATGGTCAAGAGGCTCCGCACCATCGATAAGAGCTGCTGGGGCCCATCTCACCCTGCCCCTACCCCCATTTTGACCGTAATGGGTCATGACACTTAATTACAAGTTGTTTTAGTTTTCGCCCCACATGGGGTGAGACTGTCCACCGTAACCTTGTCGTCCCGATCGGTGCGCCTTGTCGAGGTCAATGGGTAATTCGAGTGGGACCCGATATCCTTCAACAATTGACGTGAAGTTCGACTATGCCTCATGGAGAGATGTCCCATAAATCATCGACCGTCAATCGCGTCGGTCCCCGACCACCTTCGTAGCGGCCAGAGGGCAAGATGCCTCCTTGCGGAGGGGGTCAACCCGGGTGACTTCGAAGCCAATGACTCAAACATAGGGAGAGATATTCGAGAGGCTACGCACCACCGATAAGAGCCACTAGGGCCCATCTCACCCTGCCCCTACCCCTTTGGTGGCCTCGAGCCCATCTAAGGGCTGCCCTAGGAGAAGGTTTCCTATGTGCGATCATGCGTGTGATTTGAAAAAAATTATAGGAAGCGAGAAGGTGCAGGTCTTACTTTCATTTCACCTATCATTCGTGCAGTTGTCGCCTTTCCTCCTGTCCTGCCTCGGCTCTTCCTGACTATGATTTTTTTCTGAAACATTTAGTATGAGCCA